AATATGAGTTTCCTTTTTTCTAAACATTTGTATGACAATACAGTTAGGGGAGAAGTTGTCATGGGTCCTTGTCGGCATGGTTCTTTCTTCCTCTTTGCAGCTTTATTTTTTTTTATTATTTTTTTGCATGAAAAAAGGAACTTAACCTGATCGGTCTAATGGGCAAACTCCATATTCAGCGTAGACACGATGCCTTCAGAGATCAGTTCGAGATCGTGGCTTCTCGTCCTCTGGTGCTAGTTCCTCCCTTTACTGTCGCTCCCTTGTGCTTCTCATTAGACAAAGGGTGAAGAACGAGATGATGGGGCCCTTGTCCTCATGCATCTCGGAGCCTCTCAGTTTTACAACCAGATCGGTAAACGACTCCTGAATTGTCCTTTGAGACCGATCTGGCAGTAATCTTTCTTCTCTAAGTCCCATTCGATAAAACAAAACAAAACGAACAAAAGCTGAGTCCACTGCTGTTTCTTGTACTCTTTTCACTTTCCATGAGCCAGATCATGAGAAACAAATCTGAGCATCCTTATTTTGGACAGGTTAAACAAAAATGAAGGAATTTCTTAAAAAATATTTTACATTTGAAATCGGTATCGTTTTCTCGAGCCAGAAAAATTACATGGACAGCGATTTCCAAGCATTCGTTTGAGCTTCATTTTATTTCAGAATCATTTTCTGTTACGCTTTCCTTCTGAAATCTAACGTCAGATTGGTACGATATGTTCGTTCTCTTTATGAGAGAGGTAACAGGGGCTGTGCTTTCACAGCTGAACGACTTTTCACTTGACAGACAGAAAAGTAGTGTCTGGTTATATCTTGAAGAGCACATCGGAAACTTGTGCAGAAAAGCCCCGAATCAGAAAGGAGTCAGTTGCATCTTCCAGAACCGATGATGAGCATTATAATATCTTAGGACAAGGGTAGGTCAGACTAAATCACTCCAGCAAGCGTATTTTCCGAAGAGGCGGCACTTCTTCTCTTCCCACAAGCCTCTGGAAGAAGGTCTCGCTCAAACTTAGAAGCAGAATGACCTTTGACCTTTACCATCTGCTTTCAATTTCCTGTCGCTCCAAAAGCATGCCCTACTATTTCTCCAGCAACACACAGAAACTCTTCTGTGCCCTGGTCATGCCTTGTGCATTCTCTCGTCATCTCTTTGCTAATGGTACCGTCTTATTTCTTTAAATCCCAAACTTTTTGCTGCTGAAGTGCACAGTCCAAGCCCACCTCTGCCACATACCCCTCTGAAACGGTCCATTCCACATAGGTTATCCTTTCGTGGAAATTCTATAACATTTGGTCCAATATATTCGACATGCAATAATCTATCTCCCTGAGCTGTCTCTTCTCATTCTGTCTTGTGGCAGAGCTGCTGCTTGCTCTGTAATTGCAACTTACACATCTGTGTATCTCCTCTATTATCAAAAAAAAACTCCTTGGATGCTTCAAATAAGTGTTTAGAATACAGTGTGACACCTAGTAGTGACGCCAGACAACACATTTTCAAGTCTTTTAGATAAGCCAACTTCGTGATTTATGTCAGGCATGTGAGCTGCACGTGAGAGTCAGACACAAGCTCTCATAGTCAACATGGACAAAATTGATGTGTGTCTGTTAATTACGCACTAAAATAATACAGTTCTTTAAATATTAACAATATGAGCTAACATTTATTGAAAGGCGGCAATGTGCCAAAATATTCTTTATTTTTAGGGTGAGGAATCTGAAGTTTTAATAAAGTTCTTAAGTCATTTTTCCAAGTCACTCAAGTAAAGGAAGAGCTAGCACTCAATTCCAGGCCACACTCGCTCTAATATGTTTGCTGCTTCTTAAAAATAATTATCTGGGAAATATATGGCAGCCGAAGGAAACTAGACTATGGATGGTGAACACACAATAGAATAGACAGATGTCAATGATAATGTACACCAGAAAATTATGTAATCATATTAACCAATGTTACCCCAATAAACTTAATTAAAAAAAAAAAGAGTTTCGCCACCCTAAAAATAAAAACTACCATATGCTTCACCTAAAAAAAGAAATATTTATCTGGGGAATAGACATGTTGATTGGCAGAACATAAGGCACAAAATTTCCAATACTTAAGTTAGTGAACTCAAAATTATGACACTGGATGAGATGAAAACACATCTGATATAGCGTCTAAAATTTAAGATAATTTTTACAATCTTGGCTTTTACTTAGTGGTAAGGTGGAAAACTATTATTAACCCGATTTTGTAGTTAGGAAACTAAGTGATGAAATACGCGAAGAATGTGCCTACTCCGCCTTCTCAACTGCTATCTCCCTATAAATTTACGATCTTTCCAACGACTTGATGCGCTTCTTCTCTCTCAAATGCCTTTGCCAACCTTGTTTTCCTAGAGATTGTCTCTTCATCCGCAAACAACTGACCAGATATCACTTTTATTATGTAGTTTTTCCTGACTCCTTCCTCTGCAAAAAAAGAAAATGTGTTTTATTTATTTTTGTATTGTCAGCATATAGTAATACCACAATAATCTCTTTGGGTTAAAAATGACCCTGTAATTTCAAAGTTGTGTGTTTATTTAAAGTTCATACTTATTTTTACTTTCGCGGCAAAATCTTTCAGCTCTTAAATTTGGATTAAGGCTGTTATTTCCCTTTAAACATGACTAACATTTTATTTAGGGATATAGTCCCTTAGTGAGAAACAGCAGAAATTGGCATAATACCAAGTGGGCTGATTCAGCAAGAATGCACCTGGTAAATGGAAATGATTGTGTTTTATACATACTTTTAGGTTTCCTGTTGTGTAAAGCTATAACGGGTCACAAAGTAGCTGGGGACAGAATGCTCATGAAAATTAGATTTTAATTCCTTACTGTCTTATATTAGCTATATTGATTCTTGTGTAGATATAAAAGCCTTGCATATATCTTCACTATAAAAGTCATGTAAGACTTCTATTTTATTTTAATCATTTCCTTGTATAAATTCCTCCATTTGTAGAATTAAAAATTAAACCTGCACACATGAGTCAATGGTTTGGCCAGATCATTACAGATCATAGTTGATTTCAAAAATAGAAACTACTTTATAAACATAGGATTAAATTCAATAAAAGACCATGAATGCTTTAAAATATATTTATATAGGCATATTTCAAAAGTCAAAACCTTAAAAATCATTATCTAGCATAACTACAGAAATTGTTTCAGATATTTTTACCAGCTCTTGGCTGAGATATGAGTGGTACTTGTCCTTAAACGAGGCAATAGTAAACTAAAATTTATTGGGTTTCTGCAATGTCCTAGAAATTATGCAAATTTTATATATTTTTAACATATTTTACTATCAAAATAATTCGATGTAGTGAATGTGATATCTATATTACAGATACAGGAGAGGTGGTTAAGACTGATTTTTTAAAATCACACATCTATTAAGTGATAAACCAGGTGAGTTGGGTTCTGAAATCTATACTGATTTAATATCCTCAATTTAGTAGAGAAAATATGGTACAGTTATGAGACTATTAAAATAATCTTTAGTTTTTATTTTTTAATTTTCATTAAATTTATTTACGGTTTAGTTTTTTGTCATTTATTTTTAATGTGTGTGAGGGTGTTGATAATGGATTTCACATTCGTATCAAAAATAGCAGGTCACTCTTTGCCATAGGGAAGAAAGGATTTGTATCAACAATGTAAACTGCATATGATTTCATTTTTTTGCCGAATTCTATTTAAAAAATTTACTTTATTTAATGTAACTTCCTTTGTTAAAACCCTATGCTTTTAAACTGATCATATACAAAGCAATAAAGAATATGAAATTTTAAAAATAAATTTGGTATAAATTAATACAAGACACCAAAGATTAACAATGTGCAAGATGATAAAATGCCATTTATTAAAATTACTAGGAATAAAAATGAAGTCTATGCTGTTTCTATTGTCAAGAGTTAAAACATCAAGCCAGAAAAACATTGCCAATTTTAGTGTTGAAAGACTGTACGAACTTTGTATGTTTAAACATTAAATGTAAATTTTGCATGTTTAAAAGCAAAATAAAAACCAAAATCCTAGGTAAGCAACCAAGTCTAATTTTCATTGAGGATCAGTTCTCTGACAAGATATTTGCAATAATTATAAAATATTCTGAATCAGAAGCAGATTAATTTGGTGGTTACAGTGTCACAGAGCATCGGACTTCCTACTATTCTCCTTCTTATATGCAACATGTTTGTCCTAGGACTCAGGGTCGCAATGTCATAAAGTAGATGGAAAACGGGCTATGGGATCTAGAAGACATGGGCTTGGAAGTCAGGCCCACAAGGTTCTACCATCTGTAACTGGACAAGGCACAGACACGTGTGAACCTTTCTTTGTTTGTCGACATAAAATTGGTAGTAACCTCTCCCCATGACACCCACCAAGTACCATGGACAGCACACAGAAGAAATTAGGGTACCTATTTTAAAAAAATTCATTAAGTGGTATTGTTACATGATGTCACCTTGCTGCGTAGGTATATCAAACCTATGGCAGAGGCGAAAAATATAGAGGACTAACTTGGTCTCCGGGGAAATTTTTAGCAAGCTGGTACCAAGCTTGGTGTCAAGTGACCCCAATGGGAAAGCAGAGGTGGAAGCCATGATTATCCATTGATTAAATAATATGTATATACACGATCAAACAGAATCAACCATGTTGTTTTTAAAGCAATATAAAAACAGGTTTACAATCATTTAAATATTATATAAATGTGATATGCCACAAGAAATAGAATATCTGCTTTTCTAAGCAGAATAAGATGATTAAAACCTTACATAAAATAGGATAGAAAATGAGAAATAATAACAATAAAGTTAATTATTGAGACGTTAATATAAAATCATTAAACTCACAGAAAAACTCAACATGTACTTGATCATAACTTCACCTATATGCTTAGGTTACCCAAAAAGAGGAAAATCTTTGCGTAAACGAGTAACATGATTCAATGCCCAGAATCTACAAATGGTGAAGCGGGGAAAGTAGCAATTCCATGGGCCAGACAATGACAGCCAGGGAAACGATCCCAAAATGAACAGGATTTAAGCTTCCTACTCCACTTTTAAACTTCACAGGATTTTTGACAGTCTCATAACCAAAGGCATCATCTAAAATAAGAGAAAGAAAAATGATCGTTAATGCACATAAGCCAAAATGCTAGTCATAAAGTAAATGGAAATATCATTTTTTCCCTTCATTGCTTTCATGAGTCAAAGTAGAACCGGATTTTGCTGGAGCTTTAGCATCTATGTGCTGACAGAAGCAACTATTTCCCCCATCTGGAAAAAATTTCTTGACCAGGACCCTTACACCAATAACCTAAGGCATGCGGACATTGCTGAATACATTAAGCCATAATTATAAGGTCTGTGGATAAATGTATCTGCCTTTGGATTTTAGCTCTCTCTAAAATCACGTGTCAGAGCAAAAACTTTCTTACCTGTATAGACAGACTAGTTGAACTTTTTTGATCATAAAGGCAGGAGAAAAGCTATTGGAACTCGGGCTTGGGCCCTCCAATGGCCGCACAGCATCCTAGCTACGTTGCCGGTAGAATGCCACATGCACAGACAGTCGGGACACGGCAGGAGTTTGCTCTGCTACCCTTGGGCGTCTTTGTTTTGAACCTCAATGGCAGTTCTATTTAACTTAAACCTTAGATGACATGGTGCGACCTTTTAGGCACCACTGTGTTTAACGCAGGTGCTACAAGGTGAGACAGCAGTAGAACGAGGCAGACGAGGTTTGGGGAAGATATTGCTGTGTCTGAATGTTGGTGTCTCTAAAAACTCACGTGGCAGTCCCGGGCCCCATGTGATGGTGTTAGAAGGTGGGGCCCTCGGGAGGTGATTAAGTGACAAGCCCGGAGCCCTCACAAATGGGACTGGGCCCTCAGAAGAGACACTCCCCCCCTCCCCCGGGTCCCTAGGCACCTCTACTGTTTGAGGATCCAAGGAGAAGATGCCATCAAAAGAGGGCCCTCGCCTAATTGTGCTGGCAGCCTGACCTCAGACTGCCCGCCTCCAGAATTGTGACAAATAACTGTTTCTGTTGTTATTGTTTGTAGCCACCCTGTCTGTGGTAATAGTTTGTTATAACAATCTGAATAGACTATGCCAGATATAGAGATGGGACTGAATGTATTCTCAGGAATAAAACTGGAAGGAAAATCGGGTGGGATATAATTTGTGCTAGCTGATTCCCCACTCCCTCCCCACCAGGATAAAAACCAACAAAGTCAAGAGAAAGGGAAAATGTTATGTGCTTAATGATACTAATGTTTTATCAATTGTCACCTTGTGTCTTTACTAATCTTTACTTGGGATTAAAGAAGAATTTATTGTCACTAGAGTTTTTTTTAACATTAAGTAAATAGTATCTTTTGCTATAAGAAATGTTAAAATGTTTAGGTATTTCTGATATTAAGGCTATATATTTTAGCAAAGAAAAATAAAACTGGTAAAGGGCTTAGTAGTAATGCACCTGATTATGAAAAGCTGACTTTATAAACTCAGTAAGTTTATAAACACTAGCGATAAGAGTCTATGTTCTGAGGGGACACGCACGAGCTACTACTTCCTCTGGTTTGATCCAGAAGACTTCTTAGTTCTCTCTCCTCCTTCCCATCTTCTCTCTCTCTGTCTCTCTGTCTCTGTCTCTGTCTCTCTCTCTCTCTGTCTCTCTGTCTCTCTCTCTCTCTGTCTCTCTCTCTGTCTCTCTCTCTCTGTCTCTCTGTCTCTCTCTCTCTCTCACTCTGTCTCTCTCTCTCACACACACACACGCACACTCTCCTTCTCACTCTCTCTTTCTCTCAGTCTCTGCCTCCCAGAAATATAATTTCTGTAGGTTCAGTCACAACACAATGTAATTTCCTTACAGATGGGAGCTTGTCTTCTGAAAAAATTAAAACACATTGAGCAGATTCTCACACGTAATAAAAAGCTGTCAGAATGTCTGACTGTAATAATATACACTTAAGGAAACAGATAAAGCATATTTATCCTCTTCCAGCTTAGGATGTAAGTATCGGGAATAGTTTCTTTTTCATATTTCTGAACATAAACACCATATTTCCCTTTATAGAAGCAGCAGTATGGTACCTGAAAAAAAAAATCTTTAAAAAAATATTTTATGGTGGACATTTTACTAGTCCAGCAATGAATGTTTTACTTCCCTTGAATTATGTAACCACTTTCAGGGGATTTGAAAATAATTATTTCAGTAAAAGAGTGTAGAGCTCGTGAACTTGCATAATTTCCCATAAGAAAAATTAAATCAGAATTATGTAAGTGTATCACTACAAATCCAGTTGGCCCGGAGGCAAGGCCTGAAAGAAATAAGAATTGCAGTAAGCCACAAAAAACAGGTTAGCCTCAAGCTTTCCTTGTCCTCAGCAATCATCCTTCCGTGACAATTTGGGGTGAGACCACAAGTACATAAACCGTCCATGGCAATGAAGAGATTCAAGAACGAAAAGCAGAATATTTTAGAGTGAGAACTCAAGCACGGAGTAAGAAAATAAAGGGGAAGAAATACACTGTGTAAAGACAGACGTCGAGTTGTGTCTGTGTCATTTAGGGCTGGCCTTCCGTGAAGTTAAGTGATTCCTGGAAGAAAATGGTGAGCAGTGAGGCTAGGGGTCTCTGAGCGAGCAGGCTGCATTTGCCGAATTATCCGTATGAATGGAAATTTCTCCTTTCCAAGCAGAGGTCCTTGGAAGGAATTTTTAGAAGCCCTTTGGAAAATTTAAAAGCTCTTTAGGATGTAGTGGTCAAACTAGAGTTCTCAGCCATGATATTCTTTATATTATTACAAATAATATAAACCATAAAGTAGCCTAGGCAGTATCCTGCCATTTCCTGTTTTCCTGTTGAGTATTCAAAACAGTATGCAATTTTCATCCTATTTGCATCTATTTTTGCTGTCCCTGCCCCACACAGTCACACCCAAACGTCAGTGACCATGTCTGTCTAATCTGTCCGCAGACTGCAGCATCTATTTTTGCTGTCCCTGCCCCACACAGTCACAACTGACCATGTCTGTCTAATCTGTCCGCAGACTGCAATGTCTACGACTGGTAGGTGCAAACTACGTATCTGTCTGTTTGATGGATGCCAGATGACAGAGCCAGGGTGAAATGCCCTAAGAGCAGTGGAAACTGAGATGTCCTTTCGTGAGAGACTACTGATGATATGTGCCATCATTTATTAGCTGCTTCGCCTTCTGACTCAGAGTTTCTATTTTTAAGGAGTTTCTCTTAACAATGAGAAATTAGAACAGAAACTTACATGCGTAGATATGTATTGCCATAATACTCGCAATATTTAAAGATTTGAAAGCAGAAAAATGTTTAACAATAAGAGAATAACTTCAACTAGTCATATATTCATACCTTAGGATATTATGAATCCATTAAAATGGTGTTTAAAAATATCTTTAAGTAGCAAAATATTCAAAATATACGTTTGGTGAAAAAGCAGGCTGAACTTTACATAGACATCATAACTGTGGTTATAAATATAGACAGTCATGTATTTAGCATTAGTATGTATTTAACATGTATGTGAGAGAGAGA